GCTTTGGCAAAGAGACACAAAGAAGAAAGTGCTAGCCACTAAGTAAAACAGACACCTTTAGGAGAACAATCACATGAATGCATCTTCCAAGTGTCCTTTCCATTATTTTCAATTAAAACATTAGAATGCAAATTGTGCGTGTCTAGAGGTATTCCTCTCTACCTTTTTTACTTTCTAAACATGTGTTCCATGACTTTGAGGCTATGCATGCCCCCAGAAATGTGTCTACCATCTTGTGCTTTCTTAAATTGTAGCCTTAAATTGAGCATGCTTGGTAATGTACTCCTTAACTGAGCATGTTAGCAATGTACTTATCCCTAAAGTGCTTTCCCACATAAATATGCATAGATAGACTCCCCAAATAAAACCCCTGTCTTTTCTTTGCTCATGGAGGGCATTGCTCTGGAAATAACCCCCATGTTCTCCTTACCTGGTACAGGTAATGACCCTTTCTTCCCTCTTTCAGGGCATAGCAGTGCTTTTTTGGGCTTTGTAGGCAAAAAGATGTTAACTCATTGCATTCAGATTCAGAGGCCAATTACTTGAGTTTAGGAGTGTGCTAGATAGCTTTAGTGTCAACTTGACACACCTGGGTTGAGGGAGCCTCAATTGGGGAATTGTCCTCATCAGACTGGCCTGTGGCCATGTCTGTGAGGTGTCTTCTTGATTGTTGTGTGATGTGGGAGGGCCCAGCCCACTGTGGGTGGTGCCACCCCCCAGCAGGTGGGCCTGTGTTGCATAAGAAAGCAGGCTGAGCAGGGACCAGAGGAGCAAGAAAGTAAGCAGCATTCCTCCATGGCCTGTGCTCCAGCTCCTGCCTCCATGTTCCTGCCCTGAGTTCCTACCTTGGGCTCCCTGATGAACTGTGACCTGGGAGATGTAAGACAAATAAGCCCTTCCCTCCCCAAGTTGGTAGTGGTCAGAGTGTCTGACAGCAATGGAGAAACAAACTAGGACAGAAATTGGTACCAGAGAGTGGGGTATTCCTGTGACAGACCTGACCTTGGTGTTTTCAGGAGGATTGTGGAAGCATTCAGAACTTTGGGCTGAAAAAGCCATTGAGTGCTCAGTGTGTTGCTATGGAGCTTAGAACTGTTATGCTGAAAGAGTTGTGAACAATGAAGGCCTGGCTTGTGAAGCTTCAAAGGGTCTGCTTCCCTATCAGGTTCTATCAAGGTTGTTTGTGTGATATTTTGACTTGAGAATCTGTGGGTTCTGGTTGGCTGGGACTGAAGAATCAGCTGTGATTAAGAAGAGACCGTAGCCGGGCGTGGTGGCGCACGCCTTTAATCCCAGCACTCAAGAGGCAGAGGCAGAGGCAGAGGCAGGTGGATCTCTGTGAGTTCAAGTTCAGCTTGGTCTATATAGTGAGTTCCAGGACAGCTGGGGCTACAGGGAGATCCTGTCTCAAAAAGACCAAAAAAAAAAAAAAAAAAAAAAAAAAAAAGAGAGACCATAGCTACTGGTTAGCTGGGGCTGAAAAATCAGCTGTAAGTAACAAGAGACCAGCATCACCATGGTGAAATCCTCTGGGCAGCATTTCCTTGGGGTCTTCACACAGAAGCTGTGGTCAAGAGGGGACCTGAGCCTCCATCCCTAGCTGAAAGCAGGACTTGGTAATGTGTGTCTCCTGCATGGTTCTGGTGTTGAAGGGGTCACAGAGAGCAACTAACGTTTGGCACTCTGAGAGGCCAGGAAAGTCCATAGGTGAAAGTGCAGCTTCAGCTGCAGTGAAACCCCGGGACTGAAGGGGTCATGGAGAGAATGAGGCTTTGCACCCCAAGAGGCAAGAATAGGCCATTGGTGAAGGTGTAGCCTCAGTTTCAGTGGCGACTCCCGCTTTTTGGAGATGCCAGGACCAGAGGGGAAAAGAAATAGATCAGATACTCAGAGACAACAAAACCAAGATTCATTTAAAAGGAAACAGGCACAGACTAGATGAAGGCAGGAGGTGACTGGGTGTGTGATGAGGTGAACGCTCAGAATTTCTGCTCTCTCATTCACCATAGCAGCTACTAGGGAGTTTTAAACAGAAACGTGAGACAAACATAACTACAGTGTGTACAGCAGCGAGCTGGAAGAAAGCAGTTATGGTGGGTGAATACTGTGATTGGAGATGACAGAAAGTGGTAGTTTGTCTAGGATGACAGGCAGTGGAATTAGATGGAACTGGACATATCTGAGAGACATATTTAAAGGTTAACTCACTTGTGGGAGGCAAGGGAAAGAAAAAAAAATGAGGATAAGTTCTAGAAATTTTACTTGCAAAATAGAACCAAAAAAGATGCTATTAACTGAAGTAGGGAACAGTAGAAGAGCAGTAAATCTGGGATGAGGGGCAGAATTATAGAAGTTTTAAGAAGTTAGGGCTGTAGTCACCTTTAATCCCAGCACTTAGGAGACAGAGGAAGGCTGATCTATGTGAGATCAAAGCCAGCCTGGTTTACATAACAAGTTCCAGGCCAGCTGGACCCTGTCTCAAAAAAAAACGTTGGTGCTGAGGGTGCAGTTCAGTGGTAGAGTGCTTATCTGACATGCCAGAGGCCTTTGTAAAAACAAACAACAACAACAAAAGAAACTTTGCATTTTTTTAGACACTTATTTCATGAATAGACAAGTTTTCAGGCGTCCCTTGATGCCGGGTATGGTGGTACAAGTCTATAATGCCAGCACTTGGGAGGTGGAGACAGGAAGATTACAAGATCAAGGTCATCCTCCTTGGCTACACAGCAAATGTGAGGCCAGCCTGGGCTACATAAGACCCTGTTGCAACAACAACAACAATAATAATAATAATAATAATAATAAATAGATAAATATTGCATCCTCCTTTTGATCCTGCACAGGCCTTTGTGACTCTCTCAATTAACAGAATACTGAAGTGTGACTTGCAAGGCTAGTTAGAAAAGACCATGCAGCATTTAACTGTTTCTCTAAATCATAATGTAGGAGGCTTCAGCTGGGTGGTACCAGGTACCTTGCTGTTTTGAGTCTTCTTGCAGACACTAGCCATGAGATGACTCTAGGCCCTGCCATGATCTCACTACAAGTAAGAGAGAGGCCATAAGTGAAGAGTACCGTGTACAACCCATTTCCACATTCATGAGCAAAGTTAGTTATAGGTATTATTTTTAGCAACAATGCTGTGGTAGCTCATTAAATAGCAGCAGAAACTCAGAACAAAAATGATGAGTCAAATTTTGAACTCCTTTCTGGCAAGTCTAGAACAGAGATGTCTAAAAATCAGAAACTCAGATCTGGGCCACAGGCAAGAGCTTTGGGCCTTGGAGTTCATTTATGTTTACCCCAGACTTTCATCATCTCACATGTATAGGTGTTCTGAAAGCACCTTCAAGTTTTACAATTTTCATTTACTCTTACTAGCAGCTCCTCAAAGAAATGGGAAATATGTTATTATTCCAATTTTAGAGTGAGGAAACAGGGGCTTAGGGAAATTTTGTGATTCATGGAAAAGTCCCATAGCATGGAGCCCAGACAGAACACAGCTCTACTGGTCCCAGGATAATGCCATTTCCAATGTACCCTGCTAAATGCTGTAAGGAGACAGCAAGATGCCTAGTAATGGAGGGCACTCTGAATTACTGCCTTGAAACCAGAGAGCTAGGGACTTCAAGTCTGAAGAGAGGTGAAGGAGGAGATCTGAGAGCGCTTTTCAACTTTTCCACAAGGGTAAACCTTACAAAAGAGGAGAAACTGCTTATATTCTTAGGAAGATATGAGTGGATCTTCCAAACAGAAGTTTTTGAGTTACTTATTCATTCATTTAACAGCTATTTACTAATCATGTGCTATGTTCCAGGTACTGTGTTAAGTGAGAAGAACACAGCATGGTCTCTGTCCTCATGGAGTACAAGGAAAGCAGGTCGCAAGCTTCAATCTGGAGCCCAGAGTTTCTATGAGAAGGTCACACAAAAGTGGAAGCCAACAGAGAGGCTGGAGAAGTAGAGGGCATGAGAATTCTAGACAGAAAGGTTTGTGCTTAGGACCAGAATGAAGACAGGACGCTTCTTTCCAGGTAAACAACAAAGCTAAGTTGGTTTCATCCCATGGAGCCTGTCCAGGACTTAGTCACAAACCTCACCAGACCCACAGAATTCCCACTTGAAGAAGCCCTATGTGATCGGTCAACTTTATCCCACACGGTTCTAGCTCTTCTCCCTAAAACTTGCACACCATCATGGTCTTTTAATGTCTTGTAACTTCTCTATTCATTTTACTCATTTTTACTCACAGTACTGAAATTAAAGTCCTTTATATGAAAAGCATGTATTTTGAAGAATAATGTGAAAGACAAAAGCTTAATTCCTTCTTCTTAGTTGCCCTGGGAAGAGAGGGGGTGAAGATGACTAGGCAGCTGAGCAGGTGCAGTGACTCAGTCCCTGGGCACATGAGGGAAACCAGCACAGGCTGGTAACAGAGGAGTGGGCCTTAACTCCTAACATAAATCAGATGTTTTGGGTTCCCTTACTACTGAGGGACCTTGGGCCTCTTCCTCGACCCTGATGTGGAGACTCTAGACAGAGCAATCCTTTCCATGTTTCTCTCCTATGATTTTGATCTATCTCTAAGACAATATCACTATTTTTCTTTGGGTAGAAGACAGGACTCTGAACTAAGCAGAGTTCTCAATGCCGAGGACACAGAGTGTGTCTGAACATAAATCATGACAACTAAAAAATATGTCAACTCACAGTGTAGAACTTCCTCTTAAAAATACTTTCTTACAACTTCACAGATCAGCGGCCATAAGCTGAAGTACAGAGACCCTACTTCCCCATCTCCCCTGGTCCTGTTTTCATCCTGTCCTCTTCTGAAAAGAGTAGAGCCTGGTTTTCCAGGACTAAGGAAAGCTCTCCAACCTTACCACAGCCCTGTTACTGGTTTGAAAGTTCCTGCTGTCCAAAGACCACCCCTTCTCCCCTTTCCTGCTTGGCCCTCACTTCAGAGCATATCTCAGGCAAACAGTTGGTGGAAAGTACCTTGAACTCCGATCACCAGTAGAAGCAGTTGCAGCAGCTCCAGAACCAAGCACCAGTCCCATTTTTTGAAGTTCATGCTACTTTGTGAAGCTTCCCAGAAACATGCGAGACAACTGTGAGAGCTGAGTTAGGTTTCCGGAACTGACATTCATGGGGGGACGCAAACGAGAGGAAGTTGTTTTTTTGGGTTTTTTTTTTTTTTTTTTAGCTTACAGGGGTAAGAGAATGGAGCTTCTAATGGGCTTTTTTCTTTTTTAAAAAAAATTTTGAGCCAGGCGTGTTGGCGCACACCTTCAATCCCAGCAATTGGGAGACAGAGGCAGGAGAATCTCTGTGAGTTTGAGGCCAGCCTGGCCTAGAGAGTTCCAGGCCAGCTGGGGCTACAAGGAGACCCTGTCTCAAATAGCCCAAAAAAACAAAAAACAAAAAACAAAAAACTGATGTCAATTTTTAAATTTTATTTTATTTTAATTTTAGTTTAGTTTATTATTTTATGTGTATGAGTGTATTGCCTGCATGTGTGTGAGTGCGCCTGTGTCATGCAATGCTGTGGAGGTCAGAAGAGGGCCTCAGATTCCTCTGGAACTGGATTTAAGGCCCGTTCGTTGCCGCCTTGTGGGGACTAGGAATTGAGCCCTCCACACGAGCAGTCAGTGCTCTTAACCACTGAGCCATCTCTCCACCCCATGTGCTTTTTTTTCATAGGGTGAAGATTCATAACTTCTATTGAGTTCTTGGAAGGGCCAGTGCTCAGGAAGGATTAAAGGTATCTGACAGAGAATATATGCCTTTGATTCTCAAAAATCAATCACTTTGATTAATTCGGGAGCTAAGATGTAGAGGTGCCCATCTAAGTATTGGTGGGCAGAGCAGAAAGTCTGTAAAATCAGATCCATACAACCTTAATACTGTGTCTCCTGCCTCCAGATCTTCTTCTCTTATGATAAATCCACTATATGAAGTTTTACATACTCCTATCTGCTGAACATTATTATTCTTTACCTTTATGGTCTCAGACATTTTGAGCCCATTTCTCATTCCAATTCATTGACTCTAAATGAACTCTTTTCTCACCCAGGATATTTTTGGAAATCCATCAGGTAATCTGTAGTCCCTAAGACAGTATATGTACAATCATTTCAGAATCAAGGACATTTTTGATTATCAGAATAGAGGTGACCAATAAAATGACCTGTCTTCAACCTGTGAACTCCTGTCACCATCATCCCTAAAGGGTCAGCAGGAAGAAACACTGGGTCCACTCAATACTTGGCCTTGTGCATGATCAGGAGCTCCTGATCATATGGGAGCCTATGAGGTAGCCAGGGCAGGCATCACTACTTATACCTTATTGAACCTCAGAGTCAGACTTGCCTAAAGTCATGTTTTAGTTACAATTAACTCTCCATAAGTTCTTCACGCCCACGAAGATGCCAAGATTATGAATATGGCCTGTGCCCTCCAAAAACCAGTTCTAACCAGGCTCTAGACACTTTCTCTTAGGTCACTCTACATTGTGCTTTCTGTTTTCTCTGCCTTGAGCTCTTCTTACAGTGTGAGAGACAGCAAATCTTTGAACTAGAAGAGAAGCGATAATAGGAAAATGAACAAGGCTGAAGAAGAATTACATAGGGAAGACTTTAAGCAAGCCATAAAAAGGAACTGAAGAAGGGTGGGTGGACAAAGAGGGCAAGAAGTAAGCTGGGTGTGCTTTGTCTAGCTCTGGGGTTTTTGAGAAACCATTTCCACACCTATCTCAATGAATGAGAGAGAGAGAGAGAGAGAGTCAAAGAACCAAAGAAAGAAAGAAAGGAAAGAAAGAAGGGGGGGAGGGGAGGGGAGGAAGGAAGGAAGGGAGGGGGCAGGGCTGAGCAAATAGAAGAGACTGACTGGGGAAAGTTCTGAGGCAGTTGTCAATATAAAATATACCTTTCACCTCAAAGGAAATAGGAGAAAGATAGTTTCTTCTTGAGTCAAATATGAGTGCCCATGTCCCTGGAACATGGGATTCAGATTGCCCCAAATAACATGCACCAATGTGGAAACTGTTTCATGGAAGTTTTATAGTTACATAATAAAAGAAATTCACAGGCCAAGGCACTTTTGAAATATATTGGTGGAAAGAGGAAACTCTGCTATAGGTATCAGATACTATCTGATGACATTTTTAGCTTTTAGGTTGGTGAAAGCTAGTGGTCTGTTAATTTAATACTTCCAAAAGGTTTCACATGATGGTTACAAGGATGTGTGGTCAGACACAGCGGTGAACATGAATGGGTGGGCATTAAGGAGTTAAAGATAGCCCAACAACGTTCTAATCAGTCAACCAGCCTTGTAGAATTTTTAACATAGCTGTGGCTTTTCTTCTGAGAACTTCAGTTCACATAGCCTAGAAGCAACCACCTGGAGAAGCCTCACTTGGAAGGAGAGAGAGAGTGCTAGAGGGTTGAGTAGGTCTTCATTTAGGACATATCCTTACCCTCCCTGTCCTTCTGTCCTGTCCACTCACCCCAAGTTTCCCTCTGGATTTGTGCCTAGAACCGTCCACTCTGAAGTGCCTCATGCCCTAAAGTTCCCTGAGCAGATCCCCTAGGATTTGGCCCGTCTAAGAGAATGGAACAGGCAGCAAATAAAGATTAGAAGTTGTGGCCTTCCTACTAAAACATTCATGGTTTGCAAGAGGTTCCAATGAAAGTGGGCAATATGGGCTGGAAATAATATTAATATTAATAATAATATTATTTACTGCATAAGTACATACCAGGGTCCACTATATTATGTACTTTTCATGCCAATGAGGACACCAAGATTAGGAGTCTGGGCTGAATTTCTAACTTGGTTCTGCCTGGGCTCCAGACGCTTATTCTTTCTTGTCTCCTTGTGTTAGGCTTGCTCTTTTCCTGGAGTACCTGCCTCCTCTTCTCTACTCAGTCAGCTGACCATCCTTGGAAAGTAGCTCTAGTCTTATCCCTCTAGAGATTCAGGCTCACCTCCCTTCATCTGGGCTCCTTGATTCTGGCTATCATAAATTCTTGTTCTTTAAAAAATATATATATTTATTTTTTGTGAATGACTGTATGTAAGTGCACACACACAGAGCTCAATGCTCATGGAGGCCAGAAGAGGGTGTCGGATCCCCTGGAACTGAAGTTACAAACAGTTGTTAGCTGCTATGTAGGTGCTAGGCATCCAACCCAGGTCCTCTGCAAGAGCAGCCAGTGTTCTTAACCACTGAACCATCTCTCCAACCCCTGAACTCTTGTTCTTATCACTTAATAGAAATTTCAGCTCTTAAGGGATTATAAGCTGCTAGAGTCAGGAATTGGGAAAAGGGTTTTAATTTAAAATAATGCATGGCTGTTCATTTTCCCAGTTCTATGCTAGGTTACTATCTGGGAATCCCTTTGGCCACCCTGGCCAACAACTCAAAAGAAGGTATTGCTTGTCTGGCATTGTTGCTTGATATGTAGCCTTTAGCTAAACATATGAACTCTTAAGAAATTATATTGGCCCCTTTAATCTTTGATTATACGTTCCTAGCAGACCCCAATCTTATCCAAAGGAATATTGACAACTGATTAACACTAGATGAGGAACAGCTGACCCTCCTAAAACAAAGACCTCTAGATAGGCTGAGTAGATTCACCAGAAGGGCAAGCAGTGGGGAATGGCTGGGGGTGCCGACAACACAGCAGACAGTAGCAGGGATATCAGAGTATAAGGGGTCTAGTGGGAGGAGGGAGGCTATGGGAGGGTGCTACCTGGG